ATTATTATTATCAGTATTAATAATATCATTATCAGGATAAACGGATAATAAATCATTAATATGTTGTTGAGGTAAATCATAAATTGTCGAATCCAATGATAAAGTGGAATTTGGTTTGGTGGATAATTGACCGAAAGTTGCTGTATCATTTAAATCACTTTCATCATCATTTATTTCTAATTCTTCTTTTATTGTAAAATTAATAATAATAATAATATTATTATTATTATAATTATTATTTTTTCCACCTCGAGAATAACGTTTTTGATAAAAGTCATCATTTAAATCTAAATCATTATAATCTGAATTATCATTGGTAATCGTATTTAATCCATTAATTTTAAATTTTAATCCACTAGTTGAATCAAATTTGGCTTGTTTATATTAAATTTTCAAACTTAACTTAAATTACAAATCCCTAGGATTTAAATATTCCTTTATTTGAATGTCGAAAATTGGAATCAATATAAATACTTCGTTGAGCAAGTGTAAAAAACAAGAAACTATTTGGTTGATTATGAATTATTAGTTATATGAAAAGTTGTTGTAATCCTCCTCAAGGATTACAATGAACACTTGTAATTTCACTTATATAAACAGTGTATAATTCTTTATTCAATATTAAAAGATGGTTTCCAAACTAATTTTCTAATTAAATTTGCATCCACTACCTGTTCATTTGAATTCTTAACAATTCCATATCATCACTACAAATCCCAGAAAATATAGAGTAATTGTATTATTAATTGATATTAAGCTAGTGATTGTATAAATATTAATGCAATAAAAATAACTTAATTAATAAATAAAATTTTATTAACAATAATAACTGATAATAATTACCATCGTTATCACCATTATCATCAATAAACATAATTATTTCAGAAGAAGTTTCTCTATTTTTTAAGTTGGATTATTATTATATGGATTACCAGATGAGTTATCAGTTGATTCACTTCGACTGTATCATAAGCTTTGTCGACTTTTTTAAAATTTAACTACTTTAACTTCTACTTCTTTTACTTCTACGTCAAGGAACCTAAATAAAAAGGTAAAGAATTCTTGGACGGAATATTATTTAAGAAAAGTTAAAATTTGTAAAAATCATTAAAAAAATACGTCTTTATTCATACATTTTTATTATTTATAACTTTATCAATTTTGACTCATTAACTCATTTTAACTCATTAAATAACGTTAATTGTAATAAGGTATATTAGCAGATATTAAACGTAATGATATCAAATATTAATTGTAATAGTAGTTATAGTAACATAATAGTAATTTCGATTAATAATTTAATAACTGATGAAAAATGATAACAGAATAAATACATATATATTATAAATTTCAATGACATTTAAATGTTAATGCTTTATTTAAAATTATTAAAATAATAAACTCATAAAAATTTTGGGTTTTATTTTAGTTTTAGTATTATAGAATACAAAAAAAAACATTTTCTTCTTTAAGATTTTCTAACTTTAAAGACTTCGTAATTGACAATTGAAAAGCATTGCGATGATGATGTTCTTATAGATCTTTCATAATACAATCCAGAATTGCAACAGTAACATTGATCATCTAAAGTAAAAATTAGATTTAGGACTAAACATATAAAAATCAGTATTTCCGAAATATGGACCCACAGATTTTGTTGATTTTTGGCAATCTTAAGAATTACATTTTGAGAATTTTTTACCCTGCTCAGAATTAAATTTTGGATAGTCCATTTTTTAATGAGAAAATAAAACTATCATTTGTTGCTGAAAATTGATTAATATAAATATTACTATCATCCCATGCTAAAGGGTTATAACCTCCATTAATCTCATCCGTTCCTTTAACTTTTATTACCACAACTGTACCAGCGTGACCATGGCAAATATTCTAAAATGTTTGTGGGCAAATCCATCTCTAGTTCCCTGTAAGATTAATTAAAATTTATATGGGATATTTGTTGTTTGTTGTTAGATAATTAATTGTTTTATGATTGTTATTTCTGCTGCATGGTCTCCGGAAATGATAGTTGAAAAATGTTCTTTTGATTCATCTGTACGCGGAGGTAAATCTGTAACCGAAACTGTTCTTGCTGGTAAAACAATTCAAAATTCATAAGGTGAGCTGGAAACCCTTTTTGCTGTGGGTGATTCCATTGTGACAAAGTAAATTGATAATTATCTGAATTATCATAGGGGATGATAAATGGTGATACAAAGATGATTGTACGATCACCTGGGATAATATCTGGTGTTTTCATTCAAAAGATATCATGTAAAGATAAAGGATAATGCATAAAGGATGAAGGATAACATACAAAAGATGAAGGATGAAGTATGAAGGATGACAGTGTTAACTGAGATTCACCTTCAAAAGAATTTGACAAACAAGCAAAAACACTATACTAAATATACTATTGTTGAACAGGTTATACTATAAAGGAAGTATAAATATGAAGGTTTTATAAATATGGATTTACTCAAAAGAGACTAAAGGGATGAGATTTTTATAAAAGTATATGTTACTAAGATAATATTTCTCTAAGCAAAGTTACTAAAACAAGTCACCAAGACAAAACTATATTATAAAAATCATGAAGACAAAAACTATAACAAATCTAGTCACAAAGACAAAGGTAATTCAACCAGAATTATAACAAAGTTTTACACAGAAACTATACAGTAGACAAATTCACTAAGATTTAAGAATGTTACTAAGATTAAGAAATAATTCACACAGAATTATTGTAAATTAAAATCAAAGAAGTTTATTAATTGTGAGTTTTTGAACTAAGAAGAACTTACAAAAACTGGTAGAACTTAAGAGAACTCTCAACTGAAAAGAAAGGAATCCAGTCCTTTATATACATATTTGAAGTTATAATAGATTACACTGTAGACTATGCTAATGCATACACTATTAATTACACTGATGTATATACTATCTATTACACTATCTACTATACTGTCTATTACACTTTTGATTACACTATTGATTACATTGTAAATTACACTGAAGATCTACAGTTTTAATACATAATGGTTACGCTAATTTCTGACTGATTTACATTAATAATTATGCTAATAGATATTAAATAATTTATGAAATAAAATTTATTATAATAAATAATATAATCAAGATAAAAATAAAAGAAATAGAGCTAACATTGTGTAAAAATTGAATGAAGATGAAAAGGTATAAAAGAAGTAGCAATCTCTCAGAGTTTTAATAGTAATAGTAGTACCTTTGACTTCAGTTAAATAATAATTACACATAGTTTCAAACATTAAATTATTAGATAGAAAAAACTTCATCCAGGGACAGTGAAATAAATCTGTAACCTGTGGTATTTCTGTTGTTAAATGATACTTTACTTTTAAATTTGTGCCTTTTATATTTTAATAAACTTGGCTTTTGTGTTGTGATATTGTGAAATATTGTTAAATATTATTTGATACTGTGTTAACACTTTTATTCCACCTTATTCACTGAGCCTTCAGATTAAAATAAAGAATTAAAGAGAATTACATTATATTTATTATCTGTTTCAAGATAGGCAAGTTTAGAGTGACGGCTTGCTTGACCTACTGGCAGATAGAACATATTTAAAAAAGTAGTTTGTGAAAGACAAACTTTGAGACTGATAGGTGAAAGTATTCAAAATACTCTGCACATTTGTGACACCATATATGATTTTCTCAAATTTAGTGCCGATCTTTCATCTTTGGAGGGAAAGATTTTTAAATCAATTTTTAGCATTTACATTATATATACAGTAGTCATTTAATTATCTTGAATAAATTAAACGAAATATTACAATAAAATACCTACTCATTTGTCTAAACATAAATCTTGTCACTTACATTTTTTTTTAAAAAAAGATAGACATCTTTCCTTCCTTACTTTAAAAAAACACTCTAATAGGGAAATCTGTCTAGGATATAATCAAAAAATATACCAATACCTCCATTATTTTGGTGTAAACCTTGTAAATTGTCATAATAGAATATTTATTCATAGAATGGACACCTTACGATAGATTTAAAGATGTTAAACAATTAACAAGAGATGGATTTGGAACAATAAATTTAGCCAAATAATTAAAGGAAAACCAACATTGGAAGAGAGTGTAACATTAAAAAAGGTTGGTAATTTCGTTGATTTTTAACTGAGGTAAATATGATGACGTAGTCCCAAAATTTAACTTCTTCCATTTGTAAATTGTCTCGTTTGAGAAGAGATACTAGTGCAGATTCTGGAAGAGAAACAATGTCATCATCAAAAAATAAGATTTGGATGCTTTATAATAATATCAATAATAGTATGATAGACTAGAGAAAAATTTTTAACCAAGCTTTGGTTTCAATAAGATAAATTCTAATTTGTTGGTTAATTTCTCAAGTTCAAATTCATTAGCAGATAATATTAAATCAAAATTAATCTAATTTTAACATTCTCAAAATCCGCAATTCCTCCATAGTCAACTATTCAATCATTGCTTATTAAATATTGATTTTAATTATTTATTGACTATCAAGATAAGTATTTTTTTAAGTATTAATGTAGTACTAGATAAGTATCACGCACGTTAATAAAATTATTAATTTTTAGCCTTTAAAGTTGGTCATTACCCATGAGAAAGGAAAAGAGAGGGAACAGTAAAAGTAACAGTTGTGTTCAATTTAAAATTTATATAAAGCAGTAACTCTGTATGTTTGTACTTTTTTTTTTTGCAACAACGATAACATAACAAGAATACATGATAATATATTTTCAAAGGGATAGTTATTTTCATTAATTCATCATTGGTTCTATCTCATTATATCATCGTCATGTTGTTCAAAAAAAAAAGAAGGAATTGAGAACAATAAACCTCAACTTTTTTTTTGTTAAATACCTGTCTTATTATACGCTATGTGTAATCCGTTGAAATTATTTTATTTATCTACGAATTTTCTTAGAAGCTTTTCTAATTGTGAATTTCAATGATAATCGTGTATGAATAAAATTATAAATATGAAATTGTGGTTTTGAGTTTTATTTAATCGATATACAAACATGAATCAAATTTTTATAAAGTTTTTCTAACGATTTTAAATACTTCATAATTTACAATCGAAAAGTTTACTGATGATGTACTTATAGGTCTTTCATAAAGCGAACCAGAATTGGCACAGGAACATTTTTCATCCAAAGTAAAATCAGATTTAGGACTATGCATGCTAAAATCAAATCCAAAATGTGGTCCATTCTTATCTAGTTCTTTTTTGCTCATGTTACGAATTGCTTTTTTATGATTTTTTACCCTGCTAAGAATTGAATTTTGAATATTTCCATTTTTTAATGAAAAAATAAAACTGTCCTTTGTTGCTATCCATGATTTCTTACTATTATTGGTTTCCCATGCTAAAGGATTATAACCTCCAAAAATCTCATCCTTTCCTTTAACTTTCATTACCACAACTGTACCAACGTGACCTCGGCAAATATCCCAAAATGTTTGTGGAGCAAATCCATCTCTAGTCCCTCGTAAGATTAATTCAAATTTATATGGGATATTTGTTGCTAGATAATTAGTTGTTTTATGGTCAATCCATGTTGAAATTTCTGCCGCATGATCTTCGGAAATGATAGTTGAAAAAGTTTCTTTTGGCTCATTAGTACGAGGTGATGATGGTAATCCTGTAAGTAAAAGTGATCTCGCTGGTAAAATAATTGATTTTACTGGTCGTTTAGGAGATAATAAATGCTGATCAATATCTTCCCAAAGTTGCTTTTCGAGAATCTTTTTGTAAGGTTTAATTGAATCTAAGACTTCATCAGCTGAAAGATGAAAGTAGCGAATATATGGTAAACATTGTTGTAATGTATTTTTTAATTTAAGAAAATTTTCTTTGGTCCATTCTTCAAGGTTTGAAGGGAGAGTAGGATTTTGAGCAATTCCCCACTTGATGACATAATCCCAAATTTCGATTTCTTTCATTTGTAAATCATCTCGCTTGAGAAGTGACACCAGGGCAAATTCAGGAAGGGAAGTAAAATCTGAACTATCAAAAATATGATTTGGATACTTTGTAACAATATCATTACAATAATTTTCTAATTTTTTAAAGTTCTGTCTATCATAAATAGTGCGATAGACTAATGAATAATGTTTTTCTAACCAAGAACCTTTAGTCTCAATGAGGAGAGCTAATAATTTATCGGCTAATTCTTCTAGTTTAAATTCATTAGCAGTTGACATTAAATCAAAAATAAATCTAGTTTCAGCATTCTCCAAATTAACAATTCCACCATAAATATATCTACTTAAATAAATAATGATTAATAAATAAATTCATAAAATGACAATAATAACAATAATTATTTTCATTATTCATAATAACTTACTTAAGAATAATATCAAAAATTTGAGAAGAAATGCTTGACTTGGTAATTACTTTAATATTATTATCATTTGGTTGAACGTTTTCTAATTCTCTACGAAAATAAGACGATCGATATTTCAATACGTTAGAATGCGCCGTAAAACATTTTTCCTTATTTTCAACTTCAATGATTACATTATAATCATCTTTGTCACTAAGAAGTTCAATAAAGTTTTGGGATAACATGTCAAAAAATTTTAGTGTCATTTTTTCTTTTTTTAATTATTGAAAGTTCAAAAAAAGAAAGAAAGGTTACGAATTTATTTCCAAAAAATTTTGAGTCCGATGTATTTGTAGGACAAAAAATTAATTTATAAAAAAAAAAAAATAAAATGTAACCACAACAACAATAAATAATAAATACGGGGAATTACCTTTTGAATCTATGTGATTAGATAAAAATATATTAAAAATATATTATTATAAATAGAATCATTATTGTTATCGTATGACCTACTCGTCTAAACATAAATCAAATTAAAAAAGCTGAAGAATTTTCAGCAAACCAAAAATCAACCAATAAAACGACTACTCTTGACTATTTAACACAAGCTATTTGATACTAGTCGACTTTTAAATTTTCCAAAATCTTCCCAATCCTAAAAATAAAGAAAAGAATTACTAAATCTATTTCTAGTATTTATATTGTTAATATATCAAATTTATTTTTCGCAATTAATTATATCAATTTATCTGTACATACTATTAAATGTTAATTTTTTATTCTTTATTTAAAATTATCAATAGAAAACTCAGATCATTAATATGAAAATATAAATTAGATATAGACTTGATGGTTACAAATTTTAGTATTATAAAATACAAAAAAAAATTTCTCTTCGAGTTTAAAATTTTCCTAACGACTTTAAATACTTCATAATCGAAAAGTTTACTAATGATATACTTTCATAAATTGAGCCAGAATTGCTATTATTTTAGTTTAGTATTTTTTAAAAAAATTACTTGCCATTATTTATAAGCGTTTTCATCAAATTTATATATTTATTATAAATAAAATAAAATAAAATAATCTTATATTTCTGATAAAAAATTTTTATTAATTAATAACATAAGTAATAAATATGAATAATAATCAATGAATTTTATTATTTCGAGAATATATAAAGTTAAAAAATTTTTTTCCTTATAAAACTTCATCTATTATTATCTAGTCAGTTGTCTAAACGTTATAAATTTAATAATATTTTTTTTTTTACCTTCCATGTTATAAGTGAACAAAGATCGTATAATCGAGAAATATGTCCAAGGTATTAAAAAATATACTAATACCCTTTATTTTTGGTGTAAACAATGTAACTCGAAACATTTCCGAAATATATGGTTTTAACTATGCAAAGATGAAATCTTGGAGATATTTAAAAATAATTTAATACTATTAAAAGGAAATTTAAATTAAATAATTTATCTGTGTTTGCAAATAGGTTTGAACATATTCATAAATTAGATATAGTTCACCAGGACTTCCTTCCTGGAAATGAATTTCACACTAACACATATTTCAGATTTTGGGACATATATTGCTCCTGAAATATTATGTGAAGAAGAATATTCAAAAGCTGCTGATGTATCTTCATATGGAATTATAGCTTACGAAATGTTACAGGCTTTCCTCGTATTTTTGATATACCACATGATAAAGATTTAAGATATGTATTTAAAAGAAATACTATAGTGATTGTTATAGAAATTCTGAAATTGTAATTAAATTAGAAAAACAAGTCTTCCAAATCTAAAAAAAAAACTAATCTGACTGATTTAATTAGATATACAGTAGTGAGCTCACCACCGTTGATTGTCACCACTAGACAAAATTACATACTTCCCTG